AACAAATTTGACCCAAATTCAACTTAGTAGGCTTGACATATGTAATTTAAATCGAATTAGTAATAGATTTTTTTTTTAAAATTATATCCTAAAATTAATCGGATTCCGTTAGAAAGAGAAGTTCCAAATCTATCTCGGAGTTCTCCACATTCATGTTCGTTTGTTCGAAAATTCCTTTTGTATGTGAATTCTTACGGGAAGGATTTATAGGTATTAATATAGTGGATTGTATTAAAGTTATATTCCTTGTTTGACTCCAATTTGGAAATTTAGAATTCGGGTTATGTCCTTTTATTATGAGTTATTATGCTTAATATTATAAGGTTATTTTTGTAAATTGATATTATATTCATGCTTTTATAATAATATAGATAGATATAGATAGATATAGATTATTTTGTAATAATTAAATAATAAATCAAGGTGATAAATGATAATGTATATTATTCCATTCGTCTCGATTTCTGCGACAATATTCGTATTTTAAAAGTTAATCGTTTTTTTACCATGATTTTGTCTATATATTTTAAATATTTTAAATTGGTAATTATTGTGACTAATAATATATTTTTACATCATTTTCAAATATGTAAATTTAATCTCAAAAATCTTAAAGATTCTTTGTTTGAATTCATGGCCAAAATTAATTTGTTTGGCTCTTGAAATTCTAACACCATCACATAAATTGAGACAAGTATATATAATTATTATTAGTGACAATTACATGTATAAAAGATATATGTTAGCTTCTAAGGCTGTATTCTAATGATTAATAAAATAAAAAATTACGAGATCTCAAATTTAAATTCTCTAACATAAACAAAAATATTACGCCATCATTCGAAAAAGGGACTTTTTCGTATCTATACAAATTTTTAAACTTATTTACCCGGTTTTGTCTAAGTTTTCATATTTACAGGAAGTAACAAAAGTTTTTTACAAAATATATACAAATCTGGTTGAAATCTACAGCTTATCTACAACATAAGTACACATTTTTTGTACAGAATCCGGTCAAAAATTATAATTTATATATAATTTATATACAACTTATTTACAACTTACATGCAAAATATATATAATTTGTTCATGTCTCTTTTTCGAGTTTCAATCTGAAATTTCAACCAAAACCACCTCGAATTTTCACCAAATTGTCTCAAATTTGAGATATAAACTCCAACGGATATTCCCAATCATTTGCAACAACACCCAATTCAAACAAAATATAATTTCATAAAATTTCATTTTTGAATTCAAAGCTTTGAAGCTTTTTAATGTCTGTCAATGAAGTTTTTAATGGATTAACATAGTTTCCAATTCAATCTACTCGCTTTTAATTAATACTATTTTATTTATTGATTCCAAAAAGCTAAAAGAATGATAACTAAAATGATTCTCTTCATCGGAGCTAATTTTTTTTCTTATTTACTTCCTCATTTTCATAGGATCTGAAGCAAGAACTTTGTTAGGTACTAATCTTCTCTTTTTTTTCACTTAACATTAGTATCATTTCTTCAGTTAATCCACATGAAGATATTAATATAAGAATAATGATAGAGAATGAAAGAGATCGAAGAGAGAGAGCGAACAAGTAATTACCTATTAAATTTCTAATATAATGGGATACTCATTAATACTAATTTATATATAATTGATAAATTATATATTAACTTGTAATTAATTAAGTTAAAACCTAAACATCGAGGGTAAATAAGTAATACCTTCGAAAAAGATACAATACATATAGTAGGTGATAAAATTTGTCTTATATTTAAATTTAGAATTAGAATAAATTTAGTGGAGATTTTGAATAATTAAGATAACTCTGCAACAAAAAGCTGACTAGTGAAAGAGTCCAAAAAGAGAGTACACATACATACACACTCTCTCTCCTTCCCTTTAATCTTCGCACAGTACTCTAGAGAAACACAAGTTAGTACAAGCTAACACTCACTGGCGCCAGTGTCGAACCGAGCTTTGTTCTGTCGGAAAGTTAGCCGCCGTTGATTATCTCCGTTTCCGGTACTCCTAACTTCTTTCTCCCCATTATTTTTTTCTTGAACCATTTTTTTTCTTTTCTGTTTGAAAGAATGCTTTCTGTGTATTTTCAGTATAGAGTACTCACTATCCTTTGAATTTCCCCCCCTCTTATTTTTGTATTTAAGAGGCAAAATTCCATATTCATGAGTTTATATTTTCAAGTGTCTGCTGCCTCGGTCGGAAGTACCTAACTCCCTTTTTTTTTTGGTTTAATTCATTCTTTTGAGAAGAATCTGGGACTACTTGCAAGTTGGGTACTTGAAATTTCTTGGTCTTTTCAGTTGGTATGTTGGGTCTAAGCTGATTTTGCCTTTCATGCCTTTTTGTGTGTGTGTGTGTTTTATTTTTAAAGGTTTTGGTCAAGGAGATAATAAATGCTATTAGTAACAGATAAGCTTGTTTAGATTGTTCGGACTCTGCTGAGTATAATGAATGTTATTGCTTGATATGTTCTGCTTTGCTGCTGGTTATTCAGGCCTATAACCATTATGTTGAATTGGAAAAGATAATGTTGCATATATTAGCCCAGAATATATGATTAATGGCATGCTTTGTAGGTTGAAGAGTAAGCTGTGTTTGGTTCTAGCAACAAAACACAAAAATATTTTCCTTGAAAAATCAGGGGTAAAACATCTTTCTTCGTTTATGTTTTTTTTTTGTAGTCCATTTGAAATAGTTTCTAAATTTAGAGAGTGTTGGATAGTGAGACAAAGTTTCTTCTAAAACATTTTCTAGAAATCATACCAAACACATCCTAAACGTTGCTTATGATTTTCCTCCCTTGTTATTTACCTAAATTGTAAGGAGAGACATAGTTAAAATTCAATAATGCGTTCATGTGATGTTGAGCACATGTGATGTTATTTTGATGTAGTTTCTTTTTTATGGTTTTTGCAGCATATATATCGTGTGGCTTTAGCTTCAAGTCGACGACTTTACAATTCGTGTTGTCTTAAGTTTGCTGCTGAATCTGGATAACCTTTACAAAGCTTAATGATTCGGAGAAAAGTGTTCTTGACTTACAAGCGAAAGAGGCAACCAAGTTCCGATCCTTATCTGGAAAATGGGATTCCTAATACACCTTCTGGGTGTCGAAAATCAAATGGCCTAGCCCCTTTGCTGAAGGAGGAGGAGAAGTATGAGAACCATACCATTAAGGATGAAAACAAAGACTTTGAGGTAATATATTTGGTATACAGTACTTTCTATTTAGGCCTAGCCCCCTTTGCTGTGCTTGTGATTGAGGTGTAGTTGTAGTAGTTGTTGTATGAGGTCTTTGTTGTGGCTTGATTTTATTTGGGGATACTCATGTTTAAAGTTATGTCGTCACATTTATAAATGAAACCGTGGCAATGATTCTGAATCAAAACTTAATCTACATTTGGACCCTCTCCTAGTTTTTGACTTACTAGTGATTCTTGGCAATCAATAAAAACAGATGTGCAGTGTGGTGCATGATCCAACACTTGTATCTCTTGCTTTCAGAAGTACATTTTACAAACTGTAAACTATCTGATTCTTAGCTGCCATTCTACAGTGTCCTTGTTTTTGGCCTGTCAAATGTGATAGCTTATTTGACAGCTCAAATACCATCCAATCTCTCTCTCTCCGCTTTATGGAAATCTTTTACTTGTTATTACAAACACAACTGGGATGAGGATTATATGAGGGTAAATTCAAGAATTCATACTAAAATGTATCTGCTTGTGCTGACGTGATAGACATGTATGGGTGAGTACGAGCTGAACTCAAACCCACTGAAACAAAAGTCAAAAAAGAACTCCATATGACAAGGTGTAAGCTTAGACGTTAGTCTGAAAAGTGTGACAGCTTAGACTCTTGCAGAATATTTATAAATAGAATTTGATTTTTCATTTTTGTCAAAAGACTGAGTTTTTCATAGTTCTAAACTCTAAAGGTTATTGCTATATTATACATGCCCCCAAAGGGGATGAAGTAGTGGTTGAAGCATGGGAGTGACAAGTTGCTGGTCCCAGGTTCATATCCTAGCTAAAACACTCGTGTGAGCTCATTAGCTCCAACATTGGTGAGGGGGATTTCTTTGGCAATCTTGTGCTTGTGGGTTGGACAGGTTTCTGGTGAATAGTCGAGGAGCGTACAAGTTGGTTTCTATTGTGCGTGAGTAAGCAATCACTTGTTGAGTTTGTATCCAACGAAATATGCTACTAGCATTATACAGGCTGTCATATACTGACGTTACTTGAGCTTTGTTGAATAGGGTGAATGCATTCTTCTCCCTCTTTTGTCCTATTATCAAATTAGTTATGAAGATCCAGTCATCCCCTTTATTTTCTGAACTTCTAGTATTTAACTTGCAAAGCTCTTGTGAGAAATTCGTTGTTCCATCATGATCATATCTGTGAACAGGAGACAACCTTGTTAATCTAAAGGGAGAGCAATTCATAAACAAAAGCTTGTCGATAGGACTCATAATTTTTTTTTTCCGGGCCTTTGTTGATATTGTGATCCTTGTCGATTAGTCTTTTACTCTATCTTCTCATGTCAGCCTGGCTGGAGGAAATTCCGTGGTTTTTGAATTGCTCCTCCTCAGACCTCCTTCCTTTACTCTCACTTCTACCTCTGTCGATCCTGCAGCATCAACTTCATATGATCGTGCTTCTTTCTTTCCCTTCCCTGCTGCCCAGTTGTAGCATAACTCGACCGCCATAATCCCTTTAAAGCCCTTCAAGTTTGATGAGCACCATGAATCCCTATGCACATTTCCAAGCATAACATAGTTAATAATTACGACTGGATTCTTTCCAAGCAAACAATGTTGCCATAAAAATCCTTCTGATCAACATGACATTTCATGATGGAATTGTGTTGATTAGCATGATTTTAGGAGATTTGATTATATTTAGGAGATTGTTGATTAGCATGATATCACGAGATTTGATTATATTTAGAAGATTTGATATTATTTGATTTGATTTGATAGCTGTACTGATTGTATAGATTTATTTTATTTCCTTAATTAGCATTAAAAGCTTTGTATAAATTTCCTTGCTCATGGGATGTAAATGCACATATAAATACAAGACGCCTTTTCTTCTTCTCAAAATCTACATGGCATCAGCTCCATTGCTGCCTTTTTGAGGTGAGTTATCTTCTTCACAACACTAGGTTTCCGTTTTTATCAAAGAGGCCGAGTTTTCTCTTTCTTGGTGGTTGTCCGCAACACAAGCTCTGAATTTTCTTTTCTGTTGAGATTGTTGGAACATTTCGAGCCTATCCTTACCAGTTTTGATTTTTTCGGTCATCGGAGTTAAGGTTCCGTCAAGGCTGATGTGGTTTCCGACAAGGCAGATTATTTTCAACAATTTTCTTCAGATTTCTTTTTGATTGGGAATATGGAGACATTCAAGGACACAGTTTCTGGAGCAATCTTGTCTTTGGATGAAATTCAGCTTCTCTGTTACCTCCTAGCCAAACTTGACTCTGCTAATGTTGCCACATCCAACTATGTGCAATTAGGTACTGTCTTTGCTGCTCACCTAATTCTTGATTTGATTCTGGTGCACAGACACATGACATGCTCTTCTAAAGGCATTTAAAACTATTTTCTGTGTCTCAAAGGAGATAATGTCAAAATAGCTAAGCAGTGTTGTCAAAGGTGCGCTTGAAGCGCGCTTAAGCCCTTAAGCGAGGCTCAAAACATGTTTAGTGCTTCACCTCGCTTTGTGGGCGCTTTAGTGTCGCATCAAAACTCTAAGGCATGCTTTTCCTTACCAATGAGTGTAATCCTGAAAAGGCGACCTTAAACAATTGATATTTCACTTTATCGTGAATTACTTTTCAATTTCTTTGTCCATATAATTGTTATTCGTGCTTATAAGGATTAGTCTTGTACTACATGCATATTTTACCTTTTCTCCCGTTGCGCCTTTTTTTATTAAAGCCCACGCTTTATTTGCGCTTTGCTCTTAAATCTCCAACGGACCTTAGAGCTTTTTTGCGCTTTTCGCCTTTGATAATATTGGCTAATGGTTCTTTAACACATATCTCTGGAACATGTTCTGTCGTTTGTACTCCTAATATTAAACTATCATCCTTGCTCCATGTCCCTAAGTTCCCTATCAATCTTTTATCTATTACTGCCATCATCGAAGCTTTAAACTGTAAAATCGAGTTCTTTTCTGATAATTGTATTTTTCAGGATCTTTAAACAGGGAAAAAGATTGGCGGTGGTAGATTGCGTGATGACTTGTATATATTAGATGGAGTTTAAAACTCTGGTCAAGCCTTTTTTTTGGGGGGGGAGGGGGAAAGTAAGGTGTCAATCAAGAAATAATACATCAGCATCGACAGTTAGGACACCCATCATTCTTTGTTTTGAAGAGGTTATATCCTGATTTTTTTTCAAGGACTTAATTTGAATCTTTGTTCTGTGATGCGTGTGAACATGCCAAGCATACTAGAAACTCCTATTTTGTGAGTGATAATAGAAGCACAATTCCGTTTATGATTATTCATTCTGATATATGGGGTCCTGCCCAAATTGTATTTTTTGCCTGGTAGTCGATAGTTTGTTATTTTCGTTGATTGCTACACTAGGATGACTTGGGTATATTTGTTAAAGTCAAAAGTGAAGTATTATCTTGTTTTCAGTCATTTTATAAGATGATTTGTACTCAGTTTGATGCTAAAATAAAAATTTTGAGAGCTGACAATGGCAGGGAATACATGGATAAAAGATTTGGTGCTTATTTGGAGTCCAATGAGATAGTCCATCAGACTAGTTGTCCTTACACTAGTGCACAAAATAGGGTCACTGAAAGAAAAAATAGGCATCTGTTAGAAGTAGCAAGATCTCTTATGTTCACCATGACTTTACTGGGGGATGCTATTCTAGTTGTTGCCTAGCTTATCCACGGAATGCCACTTAAAATCCTCAATTTTGAAAGTCTTCTGGAAGCTTTAAAGGGTAAGAATGAATATACTATTCAACCAATGATGTTTGGGTGTGTTTGCTTTGTCCACACTAGGAATTCTTTGAAACTTGATCCTAGAGCTATAAATTGTGTTTTCATTGGGTATTCTTCGACACAAAAATGTTACAAATGTTATTATCCTCCCTCTAGGAGATATTTTGTTAGCATGGATGTTACCTTTTGAGAATCTGAGCCCTATTTCAGTGTGTTTTCATTGGGTATTCTTCGACACAAAAAGGTTACAAATGTTATTATCCTCCCTCCAGGAGATCTTTTGTTAGCATGGATGCTACCTTTCGAGAATCTGAGCCCTTAGTATTGACTCATCACCTCTTCAATGGGAGAACATTAAGGAGGAAGAGGTGATTCTACTTAGTTCCATTACTGGACCTTTTGATGACATTGTCACGGGGAAAATGAAATTGGAGAAAGAATTCAGTGGGAGACTATGGAGCCTTTGCCTTGTCTATTTCTTCTGTATCAATTCTCCAAAATTAGAGGGAACTTTTGCAGATCCTAAATAGAAGCAAGTTATGATTGAAGAAATGAAGGCATTGTCAAAAAATAGAACTTGGGAACTTGTCACTTCACCGCCAGACAAGAAGTTGGTTGGCTGCAAATGAGGTCTTCACTTTGAAGCGCAAAACTGGTGACTCGATTGAAAGATTCAAAGCAAGATTGGTTGTTAAGGGATTCACTCAGACTTATGGAGTGGATTATCAAGAGACATTTGCCTTTGTTGCGAAGGTGAACACTATTAGAATTCTTTTGTCGTGTGCAACTAATCTTGATTGGGAATTGCAACAGTTTAATGTGAAGAATGCATTTTTTTTTTGATAACCGTGGTGTCCGGGCCAACTTGCGCACACCTCGACTAATTCCACGGGATACCTGCCACCTCCCACCAGCAACATGTACCAAGTAACTCTATCCACCAAGGCTTGGATAGATGGGAAGAAAACACCTAGTATTTGCCTCCGCTGGGATTTGAACCTGAGACCTCATGGTTCTCACCTACTTCATTGACCACTAGGCCACACTCTTGGGTGCAAGAATGCATTTCTTCATAGAGACTTAGAAGAAGAGGCGTATATGGATTTTTTTCCTAGATTTGATACTGCACAGAGTCAAGGAAAGGTATGCAGATTGAAGAAAGCCTTGTACGAATTGAAGCAATCCCCCAAAGCTTGGTTTGACAGATTCTGCAAAACAATGGTCTGTTGCGGTTACCAACAAAACAATGTTGATCACATCCTTTTCATAAGACATCAAACGGGTAAACTCACTCTTCTCATAGTTTATGTTGATGACATAGTAATGATATGTGATGACGAAGAGAAGATGGCCCGAATTAACAAGTGGTTGACGTATGAATTTGAGATCAATGGTCTAGGAAAATTGCAGTACTTCTTGGGAATTGAGGTTGCTAGATCAAAAAAGAGGAATCGTTATTTCTCAAAGGAAATATATTGTGGATCTCTTGAAAGAAACTGGTATGACAGGTTGCGGACCCGTAGAATCACCCATTGAAAGCAATCACAAGTTACAGAGCGGTGTTGGAGAGTCAGTTGATAAGAAGAGATATGGCCAGGGTGTTTGCGAATTGCTTTGGCTACAAAAGTTACTACAAACATTGAGACTGTCCGGAAGAAAAACACTTTCCTTGTACTGTGACAACACGATTGCTATCAGTATAGCTGAAAAGCGTTAGAAATTATGGTCAACATTCAGTGGGCTTTGGCTTTTTTTTGTTATAGGTATTTAACCGGTTCGAAAGATAAACCCGGTTCTTGGGTCCGGTCGAGCCTCTTTGAAATTACATCCCTGCCTCTCGTCTAACTTGAGTTGTCCTGCTCCGATAATCTAGTCCAACTAGAGATGGCAATGGGGAAGGGCAGAAGTAGGGCAGGGTAGGGCCTTAACATGACAGGGCAGGGGATTACTTAAACGGGGCGGGGC